TTTCCCTTGTTCTGGTCTTTTACAGGCACTAGAGCGACAAGCGACCATCAAGGGACCACGTACTTGGGGAACCCATTTCTGCATTACTGCAGTGCCCGTCTCCCATGGGTGTCATCTTCCCCAGGGAGGCCCGAAGAAGAGGGGCCCGATGGACCCCCCGGGCCCCCGTCCCATGCCAAATATACACAAATGCTTTCCCAACTGCCAGCACTGTATGGAAACGCTCCTCCTTTTGGCGTCCTGTCTCGGGTTCCCTCCCCGCAGAGCCACCACCCTGCGCTACATGTCTGACATAACCAATTAAGGCAGGAATTTATCGTTGCCAGCTGTGGGCTTCTACAATTTCACATACTAGACAAGAATCTCTTGTCAGATGAGTAACTCTGGGTGAAAATGGTGCCGTCTTTCACCATGACGTCTTCATGCTTGTGAATATGAAGAACTGGGGTTGCTGTGACTCCCCAGCTGTTGTGAAAAATGCGTAAATTGTACTACTGTAAATAAAAGAGTGACCGCTCGATACTCGTGATCTGGTGCGCTTCTTTAACACGCTGTCTGGTGGCACTTTAATCTCGCTTCCCGATTACTATTAAAAGCCTGCCCAAACAGTGCTAGCAGGCCACTGGATACAAACAAACCAGTAAAATGGAAGAACACAGCCGCACGCATTGCAGAGAGTCAAATTATAGGGTATGCTGACATTGACCTTGTCAAGCCAGTCCTCTGCCCTCCGACAGATAAAAAGAAAAGGTGTGTTTATACCTGTATGGTTCTAGAAATATTTTAAACTATTTATGTGTGAGAATATGAGAGCCCAGATTTCTCTGACTCAGTTAGTTGAAGCAACATTTGGTGTCCCCAGAGGGGTCAAAGTAAGAGATGGAGTAGATTGCATGAAGTGCTCCCTCACCTAGACCCTGACCGACCACCAGCCATCAGTCAAGCTGGCCTCCTTCAGCCCCCGGTAGCCCCGCTGGCGTGCACCCAGGCCGGCCCCGCACGCAGCCGCCGCCGCATCGCCGCACCGGCAGCTGCATCCTCTGGTTTCTCCACTGCCAAATCTCTGAAGCATTTCTGGAAGTTAAGCTCATCTGAGAATAATTTCAAGCCCCCTGTAAGGACAGAGTGCAGCCCTGCCTGTGCGGGTTTATCACCCCTTTGCAAATCTTCCACAGTTTATAATGGCTACTTTTATCAACCCACGTTAAGGCAAGGTCCTGCTCGCTCCAGCGTGGGTATTCAAGAGTAACGATGTGAGGATTCGAGACTTCAGTCAACTTATATTTGTAGCTAGATGCTCCCTGATGTGTATATATAAAAAAGATTGTATTACCCAAGTAATCATTATTTTACTCCCAAGATGAGCATGAATGTATTGCTCTGGTGTCTCACTTTTCCCTTATCTACCATGGAAAATGTTTTTGCAGACAAAATTACGAAATACCGAACTTCTAGCCAAAGTCCGTGTTATTTATCATTTGATGAAGATGTCAGGCATGTCAAACTAAGACGAAATTTCATGTTAACTCTATTCCTCCATACAAAAAGACCTAAAAAAGGCCAAAATAAATAATCAAACCCACATATTAGTATCAGGCAATGAAATAAAAATCACTTTCTGGCACTTATTTTGCTTTAATCAATTATTTTTTTCCCATATGAATTTAGTAATGACGAAACATCTCAGATGGCCAGAGTCCTGGAGATACACTTTTTTCTTGTTCAAAAAGTAGGTGGTGTCAGCACAACCCTCCCTGGCTGTCTGTGCACAGAAATCATTCGTTCCTGATGTTTATTCAGCCCTTAAATAACAGCATTAATTTAGGCTCGAGGACTACAGCAGGGTTTGGGTCTCCATCTCACCCTGGCTCCTCCTCCGGGGGGGGGGGGGGGGGGGGGGA